ATGGGCTTGCCACATCGCATATGTCAGCATTCATATTTTGCAGCAGTTTTTCTTTTTTTAGACACGAATGAACAAAGCAATGTCCTCACATGCACCACTGAACTCATTTAACCTAGTAATTGAGACATTTTTGGCTACTTTACAAATAAAATGACCAACAGAGACGCCTTTAAAAAAAAAAAAAAAACAGATGCCACACCGATGACCATAATGATGAACAAATGTCCTAATTGGAACAGTTGCTTTAGAGCAATGATGCCAAGTTTTTGGGGCGTTCAGCTGTCTTCTTTGTCTGTCTACTTGCTCTCCTCATACAGCATGAGCCCATTTGTGGTGGCAATAAATTATTAATCAGAAAGACATCGTGTTCACCGAGGTGTCCTGGTGTGACTGGGTTAATCGCCTCTGGAGCGTAAAATAAAGCGGGCCGTCGCAGGTAGGCATGCGCGAAATGATGGCAGACTTCTTGCCCATCTGCATCTAGGTGTGCTCGAATGTGCAGCTGAAACTAAAGCAGACACGCGCATTACGAGCGAACGTTCATGCGTCAAAGCATGTAGATGTCATTTTCTAGTCAACGCACTTTAACACAACCTGAGCAGTTAACATATCCTCTGTATTAAATATTCATGGCACTCTGTATCCCAGGCAAGCAGATGCTTAATGCTGAGTGCTGGTGCTCTCTGATTTCAAGAACCGCTGTGAACAAACTAAATCCTTTGGCAGAGGAGAAACGCCCAGAATCCCATCCATCCAAACAACTGAAGATGTGAACAGCTGAGACCTAGACAGACTGATACGGCATGATCCGGATGACTCCTGTAGATCACAATGGGCACGTTTGTTTGTTGCAAATCACAGTACTCAATTGTTATTATAGATGGATAGAACTATAGCCTAATGAAATAAAGTGGCTGAATCTCAGGGTCATGTTTGCACACAAAAAACAATAAAGGTACAAAAAAATACTAAAAATTCCACAAAAGCACCTTTTTATGAGGATACATATCGTTTGTACGTGTAATATTGAAAATAAAGATGTCACATAATTATGATCATAAAACATAATTATTTTGATAACTAAGCCCATTTTCTCCAACCATTCTTATTACTGTAGTGTTTCCGGATGATTTGCTTTCCAGTTTGCTTGTAAATGTAATTATTTGCTTTGATGATTCTCATTGGATTCTCATTACTGTAGTCTAGTCAATCTTTTTTAAAATATTAAATTCAGCCTCAATTAAAGGCAGTCAACAGATACTAATATTAATATAAAATGCTCATGTTGTAAATATCATACATTATACATATGATCATACATATAATACTTGTAGTATGATCATATATATATATATATATATATATATATATATATATATATATGGCAGTCAAACGATTAATCGCATTCAAAATAAGTTTACACATAATAGATAATGTGGATGCACTGTGTATAATTATTTTGTGTGTGTATATATATATATATATATATATATATATATATATATACAAACATACATGTATCTTTAAGAAAAAAAGATTATTTATATGTAAAATATTTATATGTAATATAAATCTATATACAGTATATACATGAAAATATTTCTTAAATATATACAAGCATGTATATATATATATATATATATATATATAAATTATACACAGTGCACCCACATATATTATGTAAACACAAACTTTTATTTTGGATGCGATTAATCGTTTGACAGCCCTATATATATATATATATATATATATATATATACACTGAACAAAATTATAAATGCAACACTTTTGTTTTTCATGAGCTGAACTCAAAGATCTAAAACTTTTTTATGTACACAAAAGGCCTATTTTTCTTAAATATTGTTGACAAATCTGTCTAAATCAGTGTTAGTGAGCACTTCTCCTTTGCCGAGATAATCCATCCACCTCACTGTTGTGGCATATCAAGATACTGATGAGACAGCATGATCATTGCACAGGTGTGCCTTAGGCTGCCCACAATAAAAGGCCACTCTAAAATGTGATTGATTGTTCTCGATTCACTACTTCTTCTGAAGGCTAAGGCTGCCTTTGATAATCTAGGCTATAGTTTGTCATATTCATTCCCTATGACTCTGTAAAATGTTCTTTTTTAGGTTTCTGGGACATGCATACAGTATGGCTGTACAGTATTAGTTATCACTACCTCAAAAAAAGCCAGGAACACTATTGTTTCTGGCTTGTCATTCCTTTTTAATACCTTAAGTGAAAAAGCAAATAGGATTTGAAGCCCTGCAAACGTGACTGCTCTCAGGGACATTGCTTTGTCACTTTACATTAGACACACTCAAATGGATTTCCTCTGACTATAACTGTGTCCCTCTGTAGTTTGTGTACCACCATTTGGCATTTGCAATATATTATTTTTATTTATGAATCTATTAACATTATTCCTAGCATGAAGAAAATAGCTGATAGTGTGATTACCGGACATTTATTTTCCCGAAATACTTACCATTTCTTAAGATGAACTTACCTGTGCACAGAAAACTGAGAACCTCAAACTGACTTGTATCTGAAAATATTTAAAGAGATAGTGCCTTTAAAGCTACACTGTGTGATTTTTACCCCCATCTAGCGGTGAAAAGGTATATGACCATTTAGTGAATATTAGTTTCTGTTCCTCTCAATTCTGATTTCGTTTTAACTCCTACGGTGGCCAATGTAGTCCAAGATTAACATGGCTTCCAGTTCGACCTCGTCCATGAGTTAATGTTCGTTTTCTCACACAAACCGCTCGTTTCGTGTCTTAGGCCATCAATGTGTACTTACATTTACGAGTCATTAAATCATGTTTAATTTTGACTTCTCTGTGCATGCTTTTTGAGGTGGACCCCCTTAGCCTCCATATGACTGACAGACAAGAACGGTTTGACTGAAAAATGTCAAAATTGAAAATCCTGTGGAAACAAAGACACCTACATCTTGGATGCCCTTGAGGTAAGATAAAACATATTGTATAAAACACGTTTTTAAGGACAGATATCTTGCTATGAAGTATACAGTAATATTGCTTTTTGGCCAGCTTTATATTTCTAATCAGCCTTTCTGGAAGCTTCCAGGCGTTACCCCATCAATCAAATGTCTAGATGCTTTTAGACTCTTTCCTTTAAATGCGATCTCAGGTACTGCTGGGGACATTCGCCCTTATTAAAGATGGCCTGTATTGATCTGTGATAGCCACCCCAGGTTGTCTCTCAGATGGTCCTCTTTATATCCAGAAATTGCTGGATATTGATTGCAGAATGAGAAACTGAGGAGATGTTGATAATCTTATCCTCTGCGGAAAAACCAGAGAAACACCCGGGACTAAAGGTCTCCTTGTTTCCCTTCAAATATGGCTTTTCACAGTCCAATTCAAATGTTGGCTTATGTACTAACAATTGCCTCTATAGCGCCGAGGTGTATATGCTGATGAAAAAATGAGCTGCTGATGATATCTTACCTGGTGTTCAGACCAAGATTTGTGCACGACGACACATATCTGTGTCTACAGGGAATCGTTTGAGACGTACAGAGGCCTGAACACCTCATGAGAAATGAGGAAACCTTATCTTACTCCACAGTGGAAAGACAAAGTAGAGGTTAAGCAAAAACATGCATGGGATAAGAAAGTGTGAAAACAATGTAGATACACAATATTTCTACTGTATCTATTTATCTGTTCTATAATAATTATTTCTTTAATACCTTCATAATCATTTTATTAATGTAACATGATAAAAGGTCTATTAACACATAGATTATTGAAATGTATAATGTTATATATATATATATATGAATTCAAATATAAAACATATGTTATCATATAATTATTGTTACATAAAGTATTTCAATAATAATAATATGAACAATAGTAATAACATGCATGTTAAGCATTATCATGTAATATGTGCTATTGTTAATCAAAGTTGTATATCAAAAAGTTTATCATATAATCATCATCACCATAATCATTGTGTTTAATAAATATTAACAAGTTATACATTATTATACATTATTATTATATTATATTTGCTATGTTACATAAATATTTCAATAATAATAATAATTATAAGCATGTTAGGCATTTAAAAAATAATAAAGTATTTCCTGATTTTTTTTAAATCGTAGGTAGGGAACTATCTTCCTACCTACCTACCTCCTCTCTCTCTCTCTCTCTCTCTCTCTATATCTATATATATCTATATATATCTATATCTCTATCTATCTATCTATCTATCTATCTATCTATCGGTAGGTAGGTAGCCAGGTATCTAGGTAGATAGGTATCTGTCTATCTTCCTACCTTTTTATCTATATATGGTGTGCTTTGTCATGTCAAGTATGTGTGAACAGTAGCAGTGAGGTGGAGTCATGTAAGGGGTGGAGTGTGAAGGTACATCCTCCTCCTCCTCCTCTTGCATCTGAAGGGGCAGATAATATTCTTCAAAGCCCAGAGACAGACTCTGAGTTCCACAGCAAGTGCAGAGCAGCTCACAGTCCGATAAAACACGCTGGACAAACAGCATTTCTTCAGCAACCCTCTTCATCGAGGCGCGAGCCTGCAGAAACCCTCGACATGTGACCGCTCCCGGCCATCGTTATGTACTTTCATTTTTATCTTTCTTTTTTTATTTGATTTTCTTCGTCATTAAGGCTTAAAACAGGACTGGTAATCAAGCGCTGCGCACTCGTCGTCCTGTGGATTTGCCAGGAATAATTCATCCTCATTTTCCAATTCTTTCTTGTTTCTCGTAACGAATCTTACAAGCTAAGTAAGGACAGACGGGAAAGGAGCAAGTGAATTAACAAGTGGATGAAAACATCGTACTGACCTCCAGCTATAGGCTAACTAGACGAGAAGACCTTTGGTTTAAACAACAGCAGCCTGTATTATTCGCCATTGGAGAAGCATTGAAACGGATTTTACCGCGTTGGGAATCGAGTCTGTTCATCTCCACCACTGGGAAACGGTAAATATCGCTTGTTTTGTTGCTGTGTTGGAATTTTTATTTTAGAGGACTCTGGGATCGAGTGGACAGACTCTGCTGGTCGAGTCTGAACAGTGAAAGTTTTTTAGCAGTACAAATCAGGGTCTCACATCATTAATTTCAATAGGGAAGACGTTGAGATGCAGCAAGGAGGCACAATAATAATAATAATAATATCTAGTAAATATAATATAATAAAAGTATATTTTTAATTTTTTTATTATTAAGTTCTAAACAATCAGCCTATTGAAAAATAGTTCTTAAAGAAGTCGAAAAGCAGATTAATAATAGATATAAAAATAGACAAAGAATAGTGTTAAATAAATAATAAATGTATTTGATCAAATGTATTTATGTCAAATGTATTTAATCAAACAGTACAAATTAGAGGATGTGGACTGTAAAAAAAAAAATAAGTGCGTAAATCGACCTCTTTTACATTTCGGGGTTTTTCAGAAGCGGAAGTCATCATAGTTGGGTAAACTTCTATAGTGGTGATGAGACTACATTGAATATGTATATATTTTTGTGTGTTCCCAACACTCCACAATAGTGTTTTGACAACTTTCACAAAAGGGAAAAATATAGAGACTGATAACAGAAGTCAGAAGAGAGAAAGATGTTGTTTTTACAGTCACTCCTACAGCCGCTGTAGAAACATTTTAACTAGTTTCTTGAAATCTGATGCAAAGGTAATAATGTTACACAGTATAGTGTTGCAAATGTGCATGCCTTTACAAAAAAAGAAAGAAAAATAATATAAAAAAAACTTTGCAGGTTTTAAGATGTGGATGACTGTTAAAACGCGTCATCACAGTCTGCGAAAAGGGTCCATTAACGTATCTATATTTTTCCTACATGCAGTTTGTATATTGTTGTAATCTACTTGTGTTTTTGATACCTTGGCATTAATAAAAAATAAAAATAAATAAAAAATAATGTATCTATAAGTCTGTGTTCGGCTGGTCGCGTCTCGCGGTTGCACGGTGAATTGGTTCAATCGATGTAGTCCACTCTGTGCTCGGCTGGTTGGGTCTGGAGACTGAACAGTGAAAGTGTGTGTGTGTGCGGATTGATTCGTGTAGATGGAGAGAGAAGAGGGGTAGAAGGGCGAGATTTCTTCTCCTCCTTTGCGCACGGATGCGTCTATAAGCTTGAAATCAAGATATGTTAATAGCTGCGATGTGACGCCGATCTATCCCCACCGAGGTAAGACATCGTGTAAAAGTGCTTTTGAGGCAGTTGGACTGGATTGTATGTAATATTTTTAGGCTCGGCTGTGTGTGTGCTGCATAGAGACTGACGCTCCAAATGCAAACCAAATGCAAACAGGTGTAACAGCCCCATCTTCACCGCAAACAAGCGGCGACGCGACGCGACAACCCAAGACGTTTAATTTAATCGAACAAGCTTCGTGGGTCTTTTAGTTTTCCGCGTCGCGTCAAACGCGTCACGTCGTAAGATGGGCTTTAACGCTTTTACGTTACCTAAAAAGCATAAAGCCGTTTCAGATTCGATTATTAAAATAAGATTCGAATCAACGTCGCGTTTGTCCCGTTTCCCCTTCCTCTAATGACCCAAATAGCGAGCTCAGTGTTGGTACAGTTGTGATGATTCCAATCGTTTATGTTTATTTTAGGAGGTTTAGGTGAAGGTCTCGGGCGATCGATTAATTAATCTGTCAAGTTGGTTATATTTCGATGTCAGTGACCTAACTTTTGAATTTATGTGCCGAAAAGCGATAAAGGTAACTCGTTTCCGGTATAACATCATTATTATCTCTCGTTATTATCATCACCCGGGTTATTATGCCGCTTATTACCATCCTAAAGGACATTATTGGGTCGTTTTAGATGGGTTACCAACAGATCAATAATGTCAAGTCTAAACAAAAGGTTAAAATCTGTAATGTCAAACATGGTGCAGTCAAATTTAATTTCCGCGTTGAATTTGCTTTCAGATTTTGGTTTCTTTTTTTAACCCTTTCTAGCGCCTTTTCATACTTTTGATTGAGGATTGTGTTTTAATACACTGTCTCGTTTTGCGTGTTTTCACCTCAGGTTAGGCTTTGATCGCTTGCTGGGCGATGTAAATAAATAATATTGTTGTGTCTGACGTTTTCGTAAAGAAATGTTGATGAAAGGGGTTTGCATTTGAGTTTAAATCAAATTGTGACTTTCCCACCATGGTTTTGTGAATTTGTTTTAGTCTCTTTATCCTTATATAGACATAACAAAGTAACCTCAGTGTGTGGCTCTAATGAACCAAGAGGATTTTTTTCCCACTTATTGGCTTGTTTGGCTTTTTAGCATGTTCATCACGTCTGCCTCTCCATGGAGACGTTTTTAAACCTTTCAGCTGTGTGAGGGGTTTTTTCCCTTCTTGTCAAGGGACACCAAGACCTCCATGCGCACGCCAGACATTTGGTTTCCACATTATCCTTCAGTATTTTGCTATTTCTTCTTATGCTCCTCTGCGAACATGCAGTTGGTTTTAACTGAACACATGGTTGACTCCAAAATAAGGCAGTGGTGAAATTGTGTACTGGTTTTGGAAGAAAAAAGCCTCATTTATGCATAGACACAGCATTAAATGACATTACAATGATTTTAATCAAAAGAATCATGAATCTGTTGTAACCAAACACTTGAATTCCAACCGTGTTTATCCACATTTAATATAGATATTGACTATTGTTGTTTTAGATACAATTACAATAATTAAATGTCGTTGCAAACCTTGGTTTTAAAAAAGCTCTGCTTTTTGACACACTAATATTGAAATCATTAGGCCTAGATTTCAACAATCAAAACATGTCATGTTATTACTCATTATTAGGATATTCATTATTCATGTCTTTGGTAACATGATGTTTTAAGGTGATGTAGTTACTTACAGTAATACCACCAGCAAATTATTCATGATTGCAAGTAACTATCCCTAAACCTAACCATAACTATATACGTACATGTAGTTTATTAATATTATACTCAATGCTTAATTGAGTTCAATATTACTGTCACTTTAAAATAGTGTTCCTGTTATATTTATGCTGTTGTTTTGCTTTAATCATTGCTTTAAAATGTTATGCATTTGAGAAAGTGTTTGCATAAAGTTGTGCAATTTATGCAATCAATACAAGTTATTCCATTGAGGGGAAGTCGAGAATTGTTTGAACAAAATTTCAAATATCTTTTCAAATTGTATATTCCCATCTGACCCAAAACTTAACGTTATAAACTGTACATCTAGTTTTTAGTCGTTGTTCCACCCAGATTTAAAACCAAAAACTCCCACGTAACTTTCTCCGTGTTGAGTCGGTTGGTCGTTTAGTCACTGAATGTCTCATATGGACGAGGTTTAAAGTGAGTTGTTCTGGAATAAGGCCACATCTCTGCCTTGGCGTGTAGTTGAGTCTATTTTCTGCAACCCCCTCATTCCTTCCCAAGGGAAAATCCAGTGAGTAAAGGGGGATAAAATTAGAGGACAGGTATAAGTTTCCTTCCTGCCCCCTTTTTTAAGTACTCTTACAACACAACATGTCTGTTTCTTCTGTATGTTTTAGTTTCATATTCTTTCTGCCATTTCATTTCTACATTGAACCCTATTGAAAGTCTGTGGTTGGAGGCTAATTTGCCCCAATTCTTTTCTTTTTTTTTTTCTCTTCAGGTGGCCTTAATTTAATTGTGATTGCAGGTATTGCAATACCCTTTGGGCTGATCGTCTTGCAGAAGATGTTCTGGTCTGTTGTACTGTTGCACTTGTCAAGTGTTATTGATTCACTTTGCCCCTGAGAAGAACTCTCTTGGCTCTGTAATTGCATGTTCATTTATGCCTTAATTTGTTTGAGCTAACCAGTCCACGGAGATATTTATTCCTGATGCACCTTGTAAAAACGTCCTTTTATGGTGCAACCCTTCTGGAGAGGAGTGCAGAGAAAATGTTTGTAGAGGATGACAATATTGATTTATTTCCTGCACATGTGACTTTGAGTTATAAAAATAGACACAAAAAAGTATGAGCCGACCCCCCGAACAGGTGCTTGAAAGTTTATTGTAGATGATTGCAGGGTTGAGTCTGTAAAGTACCTATTTGGGCTTTGCGCAAATAAAGCCTTAAACTTGGATTACGCCATACCGGTGCGGACCGCGAGGCGGGGCTGAGCGGAAAAGGTGCGCCCTCGGGAAAATTCCCAGTGTGGAGTTATGCACCGGACCCCTCATAACTCCTGTGCTTTCGTAATCGGACACGTAATCTTGTAGGGCGATTGGATTTGAGATGACGCTAGAGCTACACTACCACAAACATGTCTTTTTCTCGCACGCATGCAGATCTCTTGTTTATTTTCCAGTAAGCTGCTTCAGTCTTTGGAGGCACTGTCTGCTGCAGTGTGCAATAGTTCACACTTCAATTGCAGCCTAACCTAGATTTCTGTAGCACTGCTTGTAAATAACCCTGGGGCTCTGTTCTGAGGGAGGGGGCTTTAAAGGCAGCGGGAAACGACTCTAATGCAAGGCTGCGTACTATCGGCACTGTGATAAGACTTGCATCATCAGCAGAGGTGTGGAGCTGAGAAGAAGAAAGCTGAGAAATATCCATGCTACCGCCTGGCACCCAGCAAATAGATTTCCCGTCCAATACTGTGGACCTCCATAATATGCAATAACATGCAGTCCTGCCGAGGAGACGTGCGTTCGCTTAATGAGTTAATGTTCTGCCACATTGCTTTGCCCATGTGGCCCAAGCTTAGTTTGCAGTCTCCGTAACGTCAGAATTAACCAGCTCTTTCACTGAGGTTTAAAGTCGACAGGAAATTAACCTGACTGTGTATTCTTAATACACGTTCTTTGTCAACGATTTAGCGGTGCACGTTAATATCTTTCAGCTGATTTCAGTAAACCCATGTTTTCCAGTGTCCCCATTTCAATAATTTGTCTGATCAATTTTTATTTTTACGTTAAATATCAATGATCAGTAGGTTGTTTTTACATTGCTTTAAATACTTATCAAAACGATCAATAATGTAATTTAAGTTGAAAATGACTTAAACATTCAAGTTGATTGTACTTAATGCAGTTCTGTCATCTACTCGCACTGTAAAAATGAATATGCTTTTTCTAATCAAGAAAATTGTGGCTACAGATTACAAGCAATATCATTAATAAAAATGAACAAATTAGAATTGAGTAAATTATTCCTTAAAATTAACCATTTAAAATGAGTAAAATTTACACCAAAAAACTAAACAAAAATATCTGAATAACAGACAGACATCAAAGATTAATTAAGAACTCTTTATTGTCAACATTGAAGACACCTGATGTTAACAAGCAGAATCACTAAAGGAGAAAACCGTAATTTTAAAACAAACCTAAACAAACACCGATCACCATAATGGTGACTTAAGTGTACTTTTTTTTTTAAGGTTTACTTATTTTAAATGGATAACTTTTAAGGAATTAATTTGATTAATTAGCCTATTACTCAATTCTAATGTGTTAAATTGAATTAATAATATTGCTAATCTGTTGCCACAATTTCTTTGATTAGATGAAGCGCTTTCATTTTACAGTGCACTATAATTTCATTGATCCAAACATGCATTTTTCTTCTGCTGAATGCAAAGATAGTTTGAAGAACAACATTAAACCCCATTGACTGTCATTGTATCAAAAAACAACAACTCTGAAACTTTTTTTTGAAATTCCTCCTTTTCTGTTCCATAAATGAAGTGTACATTTTATAATTGATTCATACAGGTTTACCGTAGATAGTGTGCATTATAAATACAAGTCATTTTATTTCACAAAAATCATTGTAATGAAGTTATTTTTTGCTGGAAATAAGGTTGTTAATAAACCTTATTTCTGTGTTTCTTTCTTTCAAATAGGGCCATTGCTCAGATGGTTTTTGAGTCTACAAGCTCTACATATAATGTTATCCTGCAGAACTGTAATGGCAGGGTTCAGCTGTATAATTTGTATCGGCAAAACCAATATTAGCAACAACAGCTTAACACTTAGTTTTTAAGAGACAGAGAGAGATGGGAGAGAGTGGAAAAAACAAAAATAGTACAGTGTAGGGAAATAAAAAAAACCTTGTTTGATGTAGCTGTAATCGGGTCAAGACTTTCTGTAGTGTCAGAGGCCTTTAGACTAAAGCTGCACTTTGACATTTCGGCAGAAAACAGCTCTGAGTACATCGCGCGA